ATGAGTGTGTGTCCTGCATGTATGTAAATGCATCACATGCATGTACAGCCCTTGGAAGCCAGAAGGCATTGGATTCCCTGGAACTGGAGTTAAAGTGGTTGTTAGCCACCATGTGGGTGCTGGGAATTGAATTTAGTCCTCTGCAAGAGCAGCCAGTGATCTTAATCAATGAGCCATCTCTCCAGCCCTAAAGCATATTCTTAGCATTTTTGAATTTTGCACGTTTTGTGCTGTCACTAATTTCTTAAATTATAACTCTTATCTTGAAATCTTTTTTTTTTTTTTTTAACTCTACCTGTAGCCCCAGTTGGCCTGGAACTTGCTATGTAGACCAGGCTGGCCTTGAACTCACAGAGATCTGCATGACTCAGCCTCCTGAGTACTAGGATTAAAGGCATATATCACCACATCCAGCACTGAAGTTTTACTCATTTTATTTTTAATTTTTATTTTTTTAATTTTATGTGTATGCATGTATTGTCTGCATGTACGTAAGTGCATCCATGTCGTGCAATGCCCACAGAGGTCAGAAGAGGTTGTTGGAGCCCCTGGGACTGGAGTTATAAACAGTTGTAAGCTGCCATATGGGTGCTGGGATTCAAACCCAGGTCTTCTGCAAAAACAACCAGTGTTCTTAACCGCTGAGCCATCTCTCCAGCCCCCAGTTTTACTCATTTTAACAAGCTAGGAAACAATAGTACAGTACAAAATTTTCCTGAAGCAGATTTCCAAAGCAGTACCCCTTTTACCAACCTTACGAGTGACACATGGATTCTGGGAAATTTTCTATAAAGCTAGAAGCCATAGAAAGAACCATGCCTTCTTCTGGTTTGATTGTCATGATTTTGTAAGACCCCATGGCAAACTCCTTCTATCTTAAAGACTACTTGGAACAATGAGAGCCTGGTGGCCGGGACCTGGTTTTTCTCATCATACCATCACTGGCTTCATAGCCTCAGAAAAAAAATGCTTTAGCTTCTCTAAGCCCCCCCTTTATTTTCCTTTTCTTTTAGACATGGTATTGCTATTTAGCCCAGATTGGTCTGATACCATCTAGCCCAGGCTGGCCTTGAACTCATTTCAATCCTTTTGTCTCAGCTTCCCGATAGAGGTGCACCTTGACGCACAGCCACTCAATTTCCATTTATGTAAAATGTCTGTGGGGGTATGCTGTGATTTTCCTCTTCTCAGCTTTAAATACTTGAATCTATGCTTTTTAGTTTATTTTACTAATGTCTCAAGGCTTAAATTAGAACAGGGACTTTAACTGGTACTATCTTATTTTCCCCAAATCACTCACCTTGTTTTGCTTTGTTTTGAGGTTATTTGCAGTGCTGGGGATCATATACAGCATTTGTGCAGGCTAGGCAAGTGCTCTACCACCGACATATTCAAGTCCCTGGAGTTCTTGTTTTTGTTTTTGTTTTTTTAACCTCTCTCTCTCTCTCTCTCTCTCTCTCTCTCTCTCTCTCTCTAACAGGGTCTCACTATATAGAACAGGTCGTCAGCCTCAAACTCACAGACATTTGCCTGGCTCTGCCTCAGGAGCACTGGATTAAAGGCCTGAGCCACAGCACCCAACCTGATCTTACCCTCTTAAACACTTCCTAAGGACAGATTAATAACATAAATTCATGAACTGATGAGATGACTCAGCAGGTAAAGGCACTTGCTGTTAAACCTGACCACCTGAGTTTGATCCCTAGGTCCTACATAGTAGAAAGTGAGAACTGATTCCAAGCAAGTTGTCATCTGATCTCTACACATGGCACACATACATATACAAGAAATGTAATTAAAAATAAATAAAAAAAGAGGGGCTGGAGAGATGGCTCAGCGGTTAAGAGCACTGATTTCTCTTGCAGAGGACCTGGGTTTGATTCCCAGCACCCACATGGCAGCTACGAACGGTCCTTAACTCCAGTTCCAGGGGAATCCGAGGCACTCTTCTGACCTCCATGGCACTGCACGACACAAGTGCACTCACATACATGCAGGCAATACACTCATCCACATAAAATAAAAAATAAAAAAATATTTTATAAAATTTGTGTAGCACTTTGCAATAATTAACAATCATGTTTGCAAATGCTATCTCATTTGATTAGCACAATAGCTTGTCAGTATTATCTTTAGTTGATTTTGGGGATGGATCCTCAAAGCCAAGAGTTCAGTATTTTAATTGCCAATGTATTAATCATAGAGCCAGGCTGATTTCAAACTCTATACTCTTCTCACAATATTAAGTCCCCATGTGCCCCTGATCTAGGTTTTTGTAGCATCTGAGGTGTCTATAATTTTGCTGGCTGTCTTAACCTAAAACAAAATTATAATGTGAAATAGTATACTATTAACATATTGTTAGGATCCCTCCTGCTCAGTGTCTTGAAATGGGCATCTATTCAAGTGAGGCATCTTCAGGGTTTAGGCTTCCTAAGGTTTCAAAAAAATTGATGTGTCAGGCCAGGTGTGGTGGCATATGCCTTTAATCTCAGCACTCAGGAGGCAGAGGCAGAGGCAGACAGATCTCTGTGAGTTCAAGGCTAGCCTGGTCTACACAGTGAGTTCCAGGCCAGCTAGGGCTATAGGGAGACCAAAAAAATACCAAAAAAAAAAAAAAGTTGTATCTGCATGTAGGTTTGTACACATGTGAGAGTGTATGTGTCCACAGAGTCCAGAAGAGGGTGTTAGATCCCCTGGAGCTGGAGTTACAGCTGGTTGTGAGTAGCCTGACATGGGTGCTAGGAATCAAACTTTGGTCCCCTGCAAGAATAGTGCCTGCTCTTAAATGTTGAACCATCTCTCCAACTCCTAGGATTTTCACAGAAAAAATTGTACTTTATTTGTTCTTTCATGTCATACACATACACCTGGATCATATTCTTCCCCTATTATCCTCTCTTGTCTCCTCCTTCCAAACCCCTTCTTCCTAGCAAGTCCCCTTCCTACTTTCATGTCTCTATTTTTTTATGCCTTACTGCATTTAACTTGGTTTGTTCACATAAGCATGGTTTGGGAGGGAAATCTCTTCCACTTTTTTTTTTTTTTTTTTCTTGGTGCTGAGGATCCAACATAGAGCCTCAAGGATGGTAGGCAAGCACTGTACCACTAGGCTCTACCCACAGCTCCCAAAACCAGATTTTCCAAAGACATTTTAAAAATTTTAATGAGTTTGAGTGTTTTGCTTGCATGTATGTACATACACCCATGTGTGCAATGCCCATGGAGGCCAGAAGAGGGTGTCAGAACCCCTGGAACTGGAGTTACAGATGGTTGTTATTTGCCATGTGGGTGCTGGGAACCAAACCTGGGTCCTCTGCAAGAGGAGTCAGTGGTCTTAACTGCTGAGCCAAAGGGGACTTCAGTCCCTCAAAAAGACTTTCAAAAATCAACATTGCTAGGAGCTGTGGCATACCCTTTTACTCCCAGCACTTGGAGGCAGAAGTAGGAAGATATCTGTGAATTTGAGGCTAGCTAGATCTACATATTGAGCTCCAGGCCAGCTAGGACTACATAGTTAGACTCTGTCTCAGAGGGGAAAAAAAAAAAAAAGGGAAGAATGAGTCTGAGATACAACTCAATAATAGCATTTACCTAGCAGGCTCTGGTTGGATTTATAGCAGTGGAAAAAAAAAATTAAGGTGTGAAATAAAATATTAATTGTATAATTGTAGTATCATAATGACTCTATGAGGTAGGTTTTGAGGCAGGTATTATCTTTGCTGTAGAAAATGAGGTTTGATTTGCCTAAGGGCACAGAACAAATAAGCGGTCAAGTACCAAAGTTAGAACTCAGGAGACCTGGCTCCCAGGTTTATACTGTGAATTTACAACTATGCTTCCCACTACAGTCTACAGTGTATGCCCTTATAAATTCACATCTGAAACTGAGTGTGGTGGTGCATACCTGTAATCCCAGTACATGGGGATGTGGAAAGAAGAGAATCAGAAAGAAGTTCAAGGTCATCTTCAGTGCACAGGTAGTTTGAGGCCAGCCTGAGGTACATAAGACCCTGACTCAAAGAAAAAATATTCACCCCGGAATCAGATTCTTCTGTCTCTCCAATTCAACTTTCCAAACCATCTCCTAAATGCTGTTGCCACTGGACCAATCCAAGTATCTTCTAATTCATTTATTATTAAGTATTTTATTATTTTTATTTTATGTGTGAGTGTATTGCCTGCATGTAGGTAGGTGTACCCATGTGTGAAATGTCCAGAGGTCAAAAGACAGTGTCTGGATCCCCTGGAACTGGAGCAGCTGTTAAGAACATTGGTTGTTCTTGCAGAAGACCCACGTTCAAATCCTAGCACCCACGTGGCAGCTAACAACTGTTCATAACTCCGGTCCCAGGGTATCCAACACCTCTTCTGATCTCCCAAGGCATTGCATAACATGGGTGCACTTACCTACATGCAGGCCATACATGCATACACATAAAATAAAAATAAAAAAATTTTTTAAATGTGTGCGTCTCTGCATGTGGGTATGTGCACATACACATGCAGGTGCCCATGGAGGTCATAAGAGGGCGTCAGATCCTCTGGAGTTATAGGTGGCTGTTAATTGCCTGATGTGGATGCTGAGAACCCACTCAGGTCCTATGGAAGAGCAGGAAGTGCCCTAAACTGCTGAGCCATCTCTTCAGTCCTCTTTTTTTTTTTTGGTGTGTGTGGGGGGGCTGGCGATCAAACCCAGGTCCTCACCCATGCAAGGAGTGTTCGATCCCTGAACAACATCCCAGCCTACCTTAAGAGTCCTAAAGCAGTGCTGTTTTAGGTTCTGACCATCCCAATGATCTGAAAAGACTTCTCTGTACGTATGAAATATAAAAGCGAATTATTGCTCATAACAATACTTGGCCATGGATTTCATACAACCAACATGTTGAACTCTTACTGAAAAGAGGCAGAACAGATGACAGAAAGCACATAGGATCGCCTTTACAATCTCAGGTTCTTTATTTGCAAAACAGAAACTACAAGGGCTACTTCAGAAGGTTGTGAAAAGTAAAGTGTGGGTGAGGAGAGGCTAGAGGAAGAATGGGGGGGGGCTGGTATGCAGCAGGTGGTCAACAAACGATGATTTGTGCTTGACGCACCTCCACCCGTGTCCCCTCCCCCTTATTTATAAATTCTATAAAGACGGGGCTGTTTCTCTTATTTAAAAATGCTCAAGGGTCCTATGCATTAGGGATATTCATTTGATTACTAAGACAGACGCTTTGGTATCTGGACTTAATTACGAACCTACAGGGGCTCTTATGACCTATTAGGCTCTGCGGTTTTGACTTCAGATGTTGGCCACTTCCTAGCTTGGTGACTTCCGCCAGCTAAACCTCTTGAAACCCCAGGTGCCTCCTTTACAAAATGCTCACAGAAGCGCCTACCTCCTAAAGTTATGAAGATCATAGATCATTCGGGTGAGATGCCCCAACCGCACTAGCTACAATTCATTCCGTCCCGACCCCTCGAATTGAGGGTCTCTACGCACGTGCCGGAGAGCATGCCCCGGGCTCGGTTTTCCCCGACCTGTACACCCTAGCCCGGGGGCCAGCCTCTCCTGAACCTCTCGGCTTCAAACCCAGAGTTCACCAAAAGCCACAGGCCAGGCTCTGTGACGACGGAGTTGCGTAAAATCTCTTATAAAAACTTCCTAACGACTCCGCAGTCCGGTCAATAACAGTGGCGGGGCTGAGAAGGAGGAAGCAGGCCCTGAGGGTTTAGCAACTTCCCCAGGTCCTGGAGTCCGAGTGCTGAGCCCGGATTGCAATCGCACACATCTCCGCAGCGGTCCGGATCGGCGGCGTCCGCCCGGGTCCATTCAAACGCCGCCCGGTCCCTCTGCACTCCGGGCCCGGCTTCCGGGCGGCGGCTCCCCTTTTCGCTCCAGAGCCTGAGAGGTGAGGCGGGCGATGGCGTCCGGGGCGAGCGGAAAGCGCCGCCACCCCTCAGCGGGGCGCTGGGTGGTCTCCGGACTGCGGCGCCAGTCACGTGGCGGGGAAGAGGGGGCGGGCGCGCGCGGACAAGGCAAGTGGAGGCGCGAGTTGCCGAGCCGGGTGTATGTATGGCAGGGAGGGGGCGGCAGCCGGGAAGGCCGACTCCACCCCCCTGTGCGCATGCTCCGGCCCCCGCGGGTTATAAGGCAGCCGCGCCTGCCCCGCCAGACAAAGTAGCGAGCAGGGACGTGACTGGCCGGCCGCGTGGGTGCTGCAGCGAGCGAACCCAGCGGCGTGCGAGGTACGCCACCGGGACCCCGGGGTCTGAGGAACTGCGGCCCGTGCCTCCGCGTCACGCACACGCGGGCGCCGCGAGCCGCGCATAACGGTTAGTGGGCGGCTGAGGCGGCAGCGCGCGGCGTGGACTCCGCAGTGCCCTTGGTGCCCTCGTGGGGTCGGGGGAACCCGGCGGGCGCGCGGAAACCTTCGTCCCCCGGGTGGAGGGAGCGGCCCGGCAGAGGGCATCCTGGGCGCGCGCGGCCGTGTGGCCCCCCGACCGCGGCGTGGGTGAAGGGGACCTTGAGGCGTGCGGGTTCTCTATGCGAGCCGCGGGCCCCGTGGTCAGGTGCCGTCCGCTGGGCTGCGGCACTTTCGGGTCGCGGAGCCGGGTGACCTTGGGGGGGACCTTCCCGTCCAGCCTTCCGGAGGCTCCTGGAGAGATGCTTGGATGGGGAAGAGGGACGAGCTGAGGCCGCATCACATGGTGCTCCGCACTCCGGCCGCCTTGCGCTTTGAGGGAAGGGAGTCGGGGCGGGAGTTATTGAGGACTCGTGGCATGCCCGCCCCAACCTCGGGGCCTGCCAATCCTGGTCCCACCTGGTGCCTGGCGAGAGTCGGGTGAGGAGCTGCATTGCGAGCGCCGCGGCTGCAGGCTTCCAGCGTACCTTGCACACAGGGTGGGCAGGCCCGCAGCCTTGGGGGCTGCTAGTGCTGCGGGCTCTTTGTGGTCCAACTTGTGGCTTCCGCGCGTCGGGCGGCGCCCTGGGGCGCCCGGACTCAAGGCGGCCCTGCCGAGAGTCCGGAGGGCGTTACATTTGGTCAGAGAGATGCACGCGCTCTTTGCCAGGACATCCCTATTCCGCGTGTATTTTAATGTTCCATTACCGTGGCGAATTTGGTGCAACCAGCAGTTGCGAAAACTCGTTTCTGATCAGTCTAAACCGGGAAACACGTGTTACTACTTCAGTCCCTTCCCGGGTTTCCAGTGGCTCATTGTAAACCGGGTGGCTATTGATAGTAATTAAACAGTGACAAGCCGTTTTATTTACCATAACTAATTTCAGAATTTTTTCAGGCATTATTCTGAAATAGAACGGGGGTGTAGCTCAGTGGTAGTGGCTCTTGATTAGCCTGGCTTGCCTGAGGGCCCCAAGGTTTGATCTCCCAGCATTGAAAGAAAAAATTTACCCTGGTTTTGAAATGAGTGCACACTGATGTGTGGGATTAGTAACTACTGGAACTGAATTTTGTGAGAGTTTAGAAGAGGGTTGGATAGGAACTATGTCCATAAGCAGTTTATCTAAAATGCCAGCTCACTGAGGCAGAGGCTACATCTGGTGGTTTTTTTTTTGGGGGGGGGGGTTGTTTTTTGTTTTTTTTCCCCAGTAGTAGTAGTTAGGTGCTAAATAGTATTCTCAAATCCAAGTCTTTGGGGATGGGGGTGTGAGAGAAAGTCTCACTATGTAGACCTGGCCTCAGCCTCTGGTATAAATCCAAGAGGCAGGAGGCCTGAGCTACATGGTGAAACCCTGTCCCAAAAAAACAAAACAAAAGTAACCAAGTCTTATAGCCTGGGGTACAACTTTGCCTTCAGATTACCATGGAAATGACTAAGAATTCAAGCCCTTCAGACAGGTAATTACAGGATTTAAACGCCAAACTCAGTGTACTTCAGTAATTCATTGTGGGTTTAAATAGGTACTGTTGTTTCATCAGATTACAGTGACCTTGTTAAATATGCAAGTTATTAGTCTGAGGAGCATTTTGTGAGTTTTAAAGATTTAGCTATAAGCCTTATATAATAGGCTGTAACATCTCTAAACAGATAAGGGAGGAAAAATCATACCACCCTAGTATGAAATGGATTGTTTCAATAGTTACATATTTCATTAAGGCATTTAATAGCTCTGGGAAGGATCTTAAAGTCCGGCTGCTCCATTTTCTTTTTCTTTTTTTTTTTTATGTGTATGCATGTATGTAGGCAAGTGCACCTGTGTTGTGCAATGCCCTCGGAGGAAGAAAGAGGCTGTCCCCTGGAACTGGAGTTACCGACAGTTGTTAGCTACCATGTGGGTGCTGGGATTCAAATCCAGGTCTTCTGCAAGAACAGTGTTCTTAACCACTGAGCCATCTCTCCATCCCCTCATTTTTTTATATTATATATAGATAAGGAATTTGAGGCTAGAGAGGTTAAGTGACTTAACACTTGGGTCTAAAAATTTAATGATTGAGTAGGAACTGTGTCTCTTCTGTCTTTTGACCAACTATCTTGTCAGAATAACACTCTGGAGTTTTCTCAAATTGTAAATGTGAATACCAGTTATGTCAGACTAAAAATAGTTTTATGTTGTTAACTTGCCAACTTGAAGCAGGGTCTCCCTGTAGCTCCAGCTGTCCTGGAACTCACTATGTAGACCAGGCTGGCCTTGAACTCACAAAGATCTGCCTGCCTCTGCCTCCTAAGTGCTGGGACTACAGGCGTGTGTCACCACGCCTGGCTTCTTCCCAACTAATTAAATCCTTCATTCCTGTTATTTCAATCCACTCCTATTATGCATTCCATGCAAGATTCAGATCCCTTGACTGTTTTTGTTGCAGATGACTAGGAAGATGGAACTTAAACACAAGGAAAACAGAAAGTTGTGAATTTTATATATTCAGCAGTTTGTTCCTGACAACCAGGCACAATAAGAGATTTAGACTTCAGTAATGAACAGAGTCTAACATTTCTCCTGGAGTGTATAGTCTAGTTGGAGAACAGATAGATGTGTAATTATCAGAGTAAGTACTCAACAATTATTGAGTTTTAGGGGAAGTATAGATTCCTGTGGGTGCAAATACTGGTGTGAGAAGACACTCAACCTAGAGAAACACTGGGCATGCCTCTGAGGAAATGCTGTTTGATCTGAGACTTGACAAAGGAATAGGTAGGGAGGCCAGGGAGTAATGATGGGTTGAAAGGGCATTTTAGACAGTACTGGAGCTACAGTCAGTACCAGATGCTGTACAAAAACTGAAAGAATTCTACCAAAAGCTAAAGCATGGAGACATCACAGAGAATGGGAGGAAATTGCAAAGTGTCAGCTAGTGGCAGGCCTTGAGTCCTTTTAAGGAACATAGAAGAGATCACACTGTTGATGAAAAGTGGTTTAAGGATTTTAAGTGGGGTTGAAGCTAGCAGATTTGCATTTTAAGAGCATCATTCTGGATACTGTAGAAAGTTCGTAGAGTGGGGGACCACAGTGATGGGCAAGAGTGGGCAATGGTGGGAGTACCCAAGAGAAAGGGAAGGGTTTGGGGTAGTGGACCAGATGCAGGAATCTGATGCAGGAGGGGTTAGGCTCTTGCTCCAGCTTCTAGCTCTGGAGCAAATACAAGTTTATTATCTCCATTTAACCAACAGCAATGCTGAGGTGATTATACCAGAACTGCCTAGCTTATAAAATTGAAAGCCATTTCTGCCCTCTTGTCTGTTTTTGTTGGTGGTGCTAAAATTTTGTTTTCCCTTTACCTTTTTAAACAGTTTAGTGTGGAAATTTTCAGTACAATAGCAGTTGAGCTAGTAGTGTTTCATCTCTACCCCTACGTACTTTCCCTAAGTTCTACTAGGTTGTTATGAAGCAGATCCTAGATGTAATTATTTTATCTGTAAATATTTTGGTCCATATTTTTTTTTTTTTTTTTGGTTTTTGTTTTTTGGTCTTTTGGACACAGAGAGTCTACCTGTAGTCCCAACTGTCACAGAGATCTGCCTGCCTCTGGCTCTGCAGTACTGGGATTAAAGGCATGTGCCACTATGACCAGCTGGTCCGTAGTTCTGAAAGGATTTTTTTTTTTTTTTTTTTTTGGTCTTTTTGAAACAGGGTCTCCCTGTCCTGGAACTCGCTATGTAGACCAGGCTGGCCTTGAACTCACAGAGATCCGCCTGCTTGTGCCTCCCAAGTGCTGGGACTATAGGCACTTGCCGCCACCCCTGGCTTCACCTGCCTTTTTTAAAAAAAAGATATAGAGACAGCTTGTATCCTAAGCTGGCCTGGAACTTGCTATGTAGCCAAGGATGACCTTGAACTTCTAATCCTCCTGCCTCTACTTCCTGTGTACTAGAATTGTAGGTTGTACACAGCCACATTCAGTTTATGCATTCCTTCTGATCAAACTCTTATTAACTGAGCTATAGTCACAGCTATCTGGAAGACAGGATTCTTCAGAAAATTGCAATCACAGTATTGTCCTACCTTAAAAATGAACAGTGGGCCAAGTGTGGTAGTAGCACATGCCTTAAAGAATCCCAGCATTTGGGAGATGGGCAGTGAGATCTTTTGTTCCAGGCCAGCCATGGCTATATAGTAAGACCCTTTATCCCCCCCCCCCAAAAAAAAAAAATTAACACCTCCTTTCCCACCAAAAAAATCCAGAACTTGGGGGCTGGAGAGATGATGGCTCAGGGGTTAAGAGTTCTAACTGCTCTTACAGAGGACCCAGGTTCAATTCTCAGTGCCCACATGGCAGCTAACAGCCATCTGTAACTCCAGTTTTAGGGGATCTGATGCCTTCTGACCAACTAGGGCATTGCACCACACATTGCACAGGCACTCATATACATAAAAGATAATAAAAAAAAATTTTTTTTCTATTATTTTTTTTTATGTGTATGAGTATATTGCCTGTGTGTATGTGAGTGCACTTGTGTCGTGCAATGCCTCGGAGGTCCGAAGAGGGCTTCGGATTCCCCTGGAACTGGAGTTAAGGATGGTTCATAGCCACCATGTAGGTGCTGGGAATTAAACCCAGGTCCTCTGCAAGAGTAGTCAGCGCTCGGAACTGCTGAGCCATCTGTCCAGCCCCCAAAATAAAATGTTTTTAAAAATCCAGAATTCATTTGGCAGATATGGTATTCCAGACTAGTCAGGGCTACATAGTGAGACCTTGTCTCAAAAAGCCCACTACCAGGTACTGGAGAGATGGCTCAGTGGTTAAGAGGACTGGCTGCTCTTGCAGAGGGCTGGGTTTGATTACCAGCACCCACAACCTTCTCTAACTCCAGTTCCAGGGGATCTGAGGCATTGTATAGCATGGGTGCAATACACTCATGCACATAAAATAAAATAATAAATTTTAAAAGCCCACCACCAAATACCCCATCAGTATTCAGATTTCCTGAGTTCTACTTGTTTATTCATTTATCTTGTTTTTAATAGGTTGGCTTGCTTGATTTAGGGTTCAAACAAGAGCACATATTATATTTGATCGTTATTTCTCTGAAATAATTTAACGTATAGATTCTTTCTTCATAATGTATTAAAGGAAATGACATTTTTCTAGTTTACCTTATCCTGAATTTTGATGAATGTGTTGCTCTGGCAGGTTTAACATGAGCTAGTTTAGCGTGCCCCTCTATGTTGTATTTCCTGTAAATTGGGAGCTCAGCTGAAGGCTGAGCAAATAGCAGTTCAGTTTTGATTTCTAAGAGAGGGCCCAGGAGGAAAGAGCAAATGTAATTCATGGGTAGTGCATGCAGCCTACCTGGAGGCACGTGACCTTGGTGTTTCCTCTTTGTTAATATTCACAGTCTGGGGGCTGGAGAGATGGCTCAGTGGTTAAGAACACTGGCTGTTCTTGCAGAAGACCTGGGTTCCAATCCCAGCATCCTTATGGCAGCTAACAGCTGTCTGTAACACCAGTTCCAGGGGATCCAACAGGCTCTTCTGTCCTGCGGGTAGGGCATTGCATGACATGATGCACTTACCTACATGCAGGCAATACATGCATACACATAAAATAAAAATAAAATATATAAAAAATTCACAATCTAGTCCATTGTTTCACTAGTGGTTTGAAAATGGCAGTGATTTAATGTACTACCATTCCTTCTTAATTTATTAACTAGAATGCTTTTATAAAGAGTTGTACAATTTGAATAGAAGGGG